GTTGTTGTTGGTGTTGTTTTGTTTCGGTGATGACTTAGTGATGAGTTTAGTTGTGATGTTTGTTTGAGTTGACTGACGTTGGTGTGACAGAGTATTTGTGATTGTGGAGATGGGACGAAGACCAGGTAGATGATGGTAGGCAGGATGGATTGTGTTTGTTGTTGTTTTCAGCTATCGGTATTGCAAGAACAAACCTTATCCGAAGTCAAGGTTTTGTCGTGGTGTTCCCGATCCAAAGATTCGAATTTTCGATCTAGGGAAGAAGAGGGCAGACGTTGAGGAGTTCCCGTTGTGTGTGCATATGATATCGGATGAGTATGAACAACTTTCTAGTGAAGCATTGGAGGCGGCTCGTATCTGTGCGAATAAGTATTTGTTGAAGCACTGCGGGAAAGATTCATTCCATGGACGTATACGTGTGCATCCTTTCCATGTTATCCGGATAAACAAGATGTTGTCGTGTGCCGGAGCTGATCGGTATGTTGTGTTGCTATAGTTGTAAATGTTGTTGTTGTTGTGTTGTATAGTCTGCAAACAGGAATGAGAGGTGCATTTGGGAAGCCTCAGGGTACGGTAGCTCGGGTTGACATTGGCCAAGTTATAATGTCAGTTCGTGCCCGCGATCAGCATCAAGCTCAAGTGATTGAGGCTCTGAGACGTGCGAAGATGAAGTTCCCAGGTCGACAAAAGGTGAGTGAGTGAGTGAGTGAGTGGGTGGGTGATATTTTTGATAGAGTGGTGTCCGTACGTATGTGATTAGTGTTTCAGTGAATGTGTGTCCAGGTGGAGTTGGAGTGAGAGGGAAGAGTCGATGGCGAGATGGTGTTTTGTTCAGAGTATTTGTGTTGACATTGACTGATGAGACTAGGGTTGTTATTTGTAGTGCTGTTGTAGTGTGAGAAGCAGGGTTGCAGGGATGGATGCATGTGAGTTCGAAGGAGGTTTAGTGTAGTGTAGGCGTTTAGGTAGTGATGTGGAGATCGTTGAGCCGACTGTTTTTGGTGTAGTTTAGTGTAGTGTGGTGTAGTGTGACAATGGAGGACGTGTTTGTGTAGGTGTTTGTGATTCTAGTGGTCTAGTGTATAAGTGTGTATGTGTGGGCTTCCGACTAGATGTGCGCATCAAGCAACTGGTTGTCGTCGTCAGGGTTGTGGTGAGAAAGGATAGTGAAACACCGACGACTTTGAAATGTGGTGGTCATTGTGACGAGGGGAGGTGGTATTTCTAGTAGGTTTGGTGGGTACTTCTTAAAGGTGATTAGTCGATAAGGAAAGGTGTATTCGTTTGTCCGGAATGTGTTAGCCTTGATTGATCGCTTTTTGAGGTGGGGTATTGAGTTTTTGCAACTGAGATTACTACGCTGTCATGTGGGGTGGTGAATCTTAAGGATGTCTATTTTGCGTTGATGAGTATTTTGTTTTTGAAATAATGGTTGGATGAATTAGATTAGTGTTGTGACGAAGTTGGTTAAGTTATAAGCGACTTGGGAATACGTGGACAAGTACAAGTATGTATGCATTGATGGATTGTTATGCGCACATTTCAAGGACCAGAGACAGTGATGAATGGTCTGTGGTTTGCTTTGATGTGCTACATTAACTGAAATTTCAGCCGAAATGAAAGTCGAATCATCCACCCTGGCTGGCTGGTTGGCTGTCTGACTGGCTAGCTAGCTATGTCGAATTTGCTACAGGATTCTGGCTCCAGGTGTATTGATGTCTATTTTGGTAATTGTCAAACTTGTTGTAATGATTCGTTGGAAGAAGACAGAATACTAGGAAGGTGTTGAGGAGTTGAGGAGAGTGATTATAGTCTGTGGTTATTGTTAGGAGGCGAATTAGGAGGGAGATGAAGTAGAATAGGCTATGATATTGTTATACTGCTTGGTGATGATGGATAGATAAGATTAGTGGTGTTGTCAACTACTACTATTCCGGTGTGATTTTGAATGATTTATTTAGTGTGGAGGGTTTCTCTGTGGGTCTGCGTGACTGTTTTTCCTCTCACGGTGATGTCGCCGCACCTATTGGAATCCGACGACTGTTGTCGTTGGTTCCATGTTGTGTGCAAGAATAAGTCGGTCAAATAATCAAAGTTGAGATATTTGATATTTGAACTATGGCCAATTTGATACAGAGACATGAAATAGTTGTGATAGTAATAATGATAATGACAAAATGGATACTGAAAATGGTAGTTTGTTGTCATTGAGGTGGTAGTGTGGTGTTGTTGTTACTGATGGCTGGTTTATTTGTATATGGGAAGTCGTTGTGGTTGTGGTAGGGAGATTTGTAGTGCTAGTTATTTTTGTGGTTTTCGATGTAAATGGTATGGAGGAGGTGGGTGTTGTTTTGCTATGCTATGTATGGTATGCTATGCTATGCTTAGCCTGAGCCGAGCTTCTTGACTTGATGACTCGTTTGGAAGCAGTGATGATGGCTTACATGAATTTTGGCTGCACTCAGACTCTGTGCATCGTAAGGATGGATGGAACTCAGAGGCCGTTGTAGCCTACATTTTGCTTAGGTGGTGTGGTTGTGTTGTGTTGTGAGAAGAGGGAGGGGTGGACTGGTGGTGGTGGTGGTGGTGCTTTTGGTTGGGATGTGGAATGCACAGGACTTGATTCGAACTGATATGTACTGTACTGATAAATGAAAAAAGTGATGAAGTGAATTATGTTAAAAAGTGGTGATGATGTTTGTATTGTAACTTCCAGATAGCCGTGTCACGTAACTGGGGTTTCACGAAATGGCCACGTGTTAGTTTCCAGGAGATGCGTGCTAAGGGTCAGTTGGTGTCGGATGGCGTTGGCGCAAAATATATCCCTGCTCATGGCCCCCTAGAACAATGGAAGAATTCACAAGCACGTCTAGCTGGAATAAACGTGTGAACGGTTGGTGTGTGTACCTGTGTGTGATTCAGCAGCATAAATAAAAATGTATGATGGGAGAGTGTTTCGTTTTCTCTTTTGGATGATTGTGTTGTATCGAGTCGTTGGTTGTGTGTGTCGTTGTGATTTGTGATGTAGTTTGGGGAAAGTGAATATAGTATGTTATCACTTACATAGCTGTTTATTTATTTACTGGAGGTTGTGTGGAGTTAACGGAGGTGTGAGGTAGTTCTTCGTAGTTGAAGTAGAGAAGTGATATTTATGATGCATGGGACAAGGAGGCAGAATTTCGTTTAGGGTTTGTTTTAGGTCTGGTGATACTGTCTAGTTGTATTTGTTGTAGTAGGCGTAGGGGTAGGTGAGTAGCTGTGAGTGGTCGGCTGATGATCGGTAAGAGGACACGTAGGAGAAACACTCGATGGAGATGGGCTGAGCGTAGGGTAGATTATGAGGTGATAAATTGATGGAAAGGAGGATGTCTGTTTGAGGTGTTGAAATGAAATCGAGTATTGTGGTGTCGTGATCGCGCCTACTCTGTTTGTAATAGATGTTTGTAACGAAGAGGGGGGAGAGAGAGAGTAGGAGATGTCCGTGAGTGTATTATCATGGGTAAGCATGCATGTTGAATTGTAGTTGACTTCATTCTTGTTGGACGAGGATTGTGTATGTGGGTGAATTGGTGTTGAAGTGAAGATTGTGATAGAGTGAGTTGTGGTGTGTTGTATTTTTGGGTTGGTTGTTGTTTTTTGTTGTTGTGGGGTGTTTTTTGTTGCGTTGTTGGTTGGTTGGTTGGTTGGTTGGTTGTTGGTTGTGAGATTATGCGTTGTGGATATTGAGTTGTATTTGGTGGTGTTTGCACCAAGTATGCTTAAGATATCCTAAATTGATTGATTGATGGAGGGAGGCTATTTCACCGACTGCAACACATGAAGTGCTGTTGTATCTGCAGAATAGCTACAAGTGTTGGTTGTGTGTGAGTGTTTGAGTGTGAGTATGGGATTTTGATTGTGAGACTGTTGGCGTGTGCGTTTGTGTGGATTTGTGATTTTGCATTGGGGGGGGGGAGAGAGGTGGAGAGTGTGATGTTGAGGGAAATAGGGTGTAGAGTCGAGTTGATGTATTTGGATGTTGTCGCATGCAAGTCTGATTGTAGACTTGCTTTGAAGCACATCCTATATTGGGTGAGTGGTTGAAGCCAGCATGTGATGTACTGGCTGTCTCTACGTGAGTGGGACAGGCAACAGGACCCGTGCGACATGATAGTTGTAGTGAGTGGGTTGGTGTTTTGTGTGTGTTGATTTTATTGAGTGTTGAGTGTATTTGAGTGGTGTTATATGACGGTGTAGTGGTTTTTGGTTTTCTTAATCATCTGACCTGGCCTGAGGTGGTGATGTAATCTAGGTGAATGGTGGTGAGTATTGAGTGTTGTTTACTTTCATATGTTGTGGTGTGTGTGTGTGTGTTAGGAGTGTGATTTTTCGTGATTGCGTTTGTGTTTGTGGAGATGTTTTTGAGTGGTGTGTGAATGTATGGTGTTGGCGAGTTAGCCGCTAACTAGCTAGCTGGCTGTCTGGCGAGCTAGTGTGGATGTTCGTCTGGGAATGTGAGTGTCTGTCGTTGTAGTGTAGGTGGCTGATGTGATGGGGTTAGTGTTTGTGGTGCTTGCATTTCTGTGTGTAGAGACAAATGGTCCTACATGTGGCGTTGTCTCAAGGAAGAAATGCTAAAGAAGATGGTGTTTTCCACCATAGTTACCCTGAGTGTCAGTCGAGCTGAGGGTTTGGTGAGACACGAGATATGACAATGGGTGTTGTTGTTGGTGTTGTTTTGTTTCGGTGATGACTTAGTGATGAGTTTAGTTGTGATGTTTGTTTGAGTTGACTGACGTTGGTGTGACAGAGTATTTGTGATTGTGGAGATGGGACGAAGACCAGGTAGATGATGGTAGGCAGGATGGATTGTGTTTGTTGTTGTTTTCAGCTATCGGTATTGCAAGAACAAACCTTATCCGAAGTCAAGGTTTTGTCGTGGTGTTCCCGATCCAAAGATTCGAATTTTCGATCTAGGGAAGAAGAGGGCAGACGTTGAGGAGTTCCCGTTGTGTGTGCATATGATATCGGATGAGTATGAACAACTTTCTAGTGAAGCATTGGAGGCGGCTCGTATCTGTGCGAATAAGTATTTGTTGAAGCACTGCGGGAAAGATTCATTCCATGGACGTATACGTGTGCATCCTTTCCATGTTATCCGGATAAACAAGATGTTGTCGTGTGCCGGAGCTGATCGGTATGTTGTGTTGCTATAGTTGTAAATGTTGTTGTTGTTGTGTTGTATAGTCTGCAAACAGGAATGAGAGGTGCATTTGGGAAGCCTCAGGGTACGGTAGCTCGGGTTGACATTGGCCAAGTTATAATGTCAGTTCGTGCCCGCGATCAGCATCAAGCTCAAGTGATTGAGGCTCTGAGACGTGCGAAGATGAAGTTCCCAGGTCGACAAAAGGTGAGTGAGTGAGTGAGTGAGTGGGTGGGTGATATTTTTGATAGAGTGGTGTCCGTACGTATGTGATTAGTGTTTCAGTGAATGTGTGTCCAGGTGGAGTTGGAGTGAGAGGGAAGAGTCGATGGCGAGATGGTGTTTTGTTCAGAGTATTTGTGTTGACATTGACTGATGAGACTAGGGTTGTTATTTGTAGTGCTGTTGTAGTGTGAGAAGCAGGGTTGCAGGGATGGATGCATGTGAGTTCGAAGGAGGTTTAGTGTAGTGTAGGCGTTTAGGTAGTGATGTGGAGATCGTTGAGCCGACTGTTTTTGGTGTAGTTTAGTGTAGTGTGGTGTAGTGTGACAATGGAGGACGTGTTTGTGTAGGTGTTTGTGATTCTAGTGGTCTAGTGTATAAGTGTGTATGTGTGGGCTTCCGACTAGATGTGCGCATCAAGCAACTGGTTGTCGTCGTCAGGGTTGTGGTGAGAAAGGATAGTGAAACACCGACGACTTTGAAATGTGGTGGTCATTGTGACGAGGGGAGGTGGTATTTCTAGTAGGTTTGGTGGGTACTTCTTAAAGGTGATTAGTCGATAAGGAAAGGTGTATTCGTTTGTCCGGAATGTGTTAGCCTTGATTGATCGCTTTTTGAGGTGGGGTATTGAGTTTTTGCAACTGAGATTACTACGCTGTCATGTGGGGTGGTGAATCTTAAGGATGTCTATTTTGCGTTGATGAGTATTTTGTTTTTGAAATAATGGTTGGATGAATTAGATTAGTGTTGTGACGAAGTTGGTTAAGTTATAAGCGACTTGGGAATACGTGGACAAGTACAAGTATGTATGCATTGATGGATTGTTATGCGCACATTTCAAGGACCAGAGACAGTGATGAATGGTCTGTGGTTTGCTTTGATGTGCCACATTAACTGAAATTTCAGCCGAAATGAAAGTCGAATCACCCACCCTGGCTGGCTGGTTGGCTGTCTGACTGGCTAGCTAGCTATGTCGAATTTGCTACAGGATTCTGGCTCCAGGTGTATTGATGTCTATTTTGGTAATTGTCAAACTTGTTGTAATGATTCGTTGGAAGAAGACAGAATACTAGGAAGGTGTTGAGGAGTTGAGGAGAGTGATTATAGTCTGTGGTTATTGTTAGGAGGCGAATTAGGAGGGAGATGAAGTAGAATAGGCTATGATATTGTTATACTGCTTGGTGATGATGGATAGATAAGATTAGTGGTGTTGTCAACTACTACTATTCCGGTGTGATTTTGAATGATTTATTTAGTGTGGAGGGTTTCTCTGTGGGTCTGCGTGACTGTTTTTCCTCTCACGGTGATGTCGCCGCACCTATTGGAATCCGACGACTGTTGTCGTTGGTTCCATGTTGTGTGCAAGAATAAGTCGGTCAAATAATCAAAGTTGAGATATTTGATATTTGAACTATGGCCAATTTGATACAGAGACATGAAATAGTTGTGATAGTAATAATGATAATGACAAAATGGATACTGAAAATGGTAGTTTGTTGTCATTGAGGTGGTAGTGTGGTGTTGTTGTTACTGATGGCTGGTTTATTTGTATATGGGAAGTCGTTGTGGTTGTGGTAGGGAGATTTGTAGTGCTAGTTATTTTTGTGGTTTTCGATGTAAATGGTATGGAGGAGGTGGGTGTTGTTTTGCTATGCTATGTATGGTATGCTATGCTATGCTTAGCCTGAGCCGAGCTTCTTGACTTGATGACTCGTTTGGAAGCAGTGATGATGGCTTACATGAATTTTGGCTGCACTCAGACTCTGTGCATCGTAAGGATGGATGGAACTCAGAGGCCGTTGTAGCCTACATTTTGCTTAGGTGGTGTGGTTGTGTTGTGTTGTGAGAAGAGGGAGGGGTGGACTGGTGGTGGTGGTGGTGGTGCTTTTGGTTGGGATGTGGAATGCACAGGACTTGATTCGAACTGATATGTACTGTACTGATAAATGAAAAAAGTGATGAAGTGAATTATGTTAAAAAGTGGTGATGATGTTTGTATTGTAACTTCCAGATAGCCGTGTCACGTAACTGGGGTTTCACGAAATGGCCACGTGTTAGTTTCCAGGAGATGCGTGCTAAGGGTCAGTTGGTGTCGGATGGCGTTGGCGCAAAATATATCCCTGCTCATGGCCCCCTAGAACAATGGAAGAATTCACAAGCACGTCTAGCTGGAATAAACGTGTGAACGGTTGGTGTGTGTACCTGTGTGTGATTCAGCAGCATAAATAAAAATGTATGATGGGAGAGTGTTTCGTTTTCTCTTTTGGATGATTGTGTTGTATCGAGTCGTTGGTTGTGTGTGTCGTTGTGATTTGTGATGTAGTTTGGGGAAAGTGAATATAGTATGTTATCACTTACATAGCTGTTTATTTATTTACTGGAGGTTGTGTGGAGTTAACGGAGGTGTGAGGTAGTTCTTCGTAGTTGAAGTAGAGAAGTGATATTTATGATGCATGGGACAAGGAGGCAGAATTTCGTTTAGGGTTTGTTTTAGGTCTGGTGATACTGTCTAGTTGTATTTGTTGTAGTAGGCGTAGGGGTAGGTGAGTAGCTGTGAGTGGTCGGCTGATGATCGGTAAGAGGACACGTAGGAGAAACACTCGATGGAGATGGGCTGAGCGTAGGGTAGATTATGAGGTGATAAATTGATGGAAAGGAGGATGTCTGTTTGAGGTGTTGAAATGAAATCAAGTATTGTGGTGTCGTGATCGCGCCTACTCTGTTTGTAATAGATGTTTGTAACGAAGAGGGGGGAGAGAGAGAGTAGGAGATGTCCGTGAGTGTATTATCATGGGTAAGCATGCATGTTGAATTGTAGTTGACTTCATTCTGGTTGGACGAGGATTGTGTATGTGGGTGAATTGGTGTTGAAGTGAAGATTGTGATAGAGTGAGTTGTGGTGTGTTGTATGTGTGAGGTGAGTGGTAGTGTGTGAGTGTCCGGGAATGTTTGTTGAAGCGTTGATGGCTGGCTGGCTGGCTGGTTGTCGGTTGTGAGATTATGCGTTGTGGATATTGAGTTGTATTTGGTGGTGTTTGCACCAAGTATGCTTAAGATATCCTAAATTGATTGATTGATGGAGGGAGGCTATTTCACCGACTGCAACACATGAAGTGCTGTTGTATCTGCAGAATAGCTACAAGTGTTGGTTGTGTGTGAGTGTTTGAGTGTGAGTATGGGATTTTGATTGTGAGACTGTTGGCGTGTGCGTTTGTGTGGATTTGTGATTTTGCATTGGGGGGGGGGAGAGAGGTGGAGAGTGTGATGTTGAGGGAAATAGGGTGTAGAGTCGAGTTGATGTATTTGGATGTTGTCGCATGCAAGTCTGATTGTAGACTTGCTTTGAAGCACATCCTATATTGGGTGAGTGGTTGAAGCCAGCATGTGATGTACTGGCTGTCTCTACGTGAGTGGGACAGGCAACAGGATCCGTGCGACATGATAGTTGTAGTGAGTGGGTTGGTGTTTTGTGTGTGTTGATTTTATTGAGTGTTGAGTGTATTTGAGTGGCGTTATATGACGGTGTAGTGGTTTTTGGTTTTCTTAATCATCTGACCTGGCCTGAGGTGGTGATGTAATCTAGGTGAATGGTGGTGAGTATTGAGTGTTGTTTACTTTCATATGTTGTGGTGTGTGTGTGTGTGTGTGTGTGATTTTTCGTGATTGCGTTTGTGTTTGTGGAGATGTTTTTGAGTGGTGTGTGAATGTATGGTGTTGGCGAGTTAGCCGCTAACTAGCTAGCTGGCTGTCTGGCGAGCTAGTGTGGATGTTCGTCTGGGAATGTGAGTGTCTGTCGTTGTAGTGTAGGTGGCTGATGTGATGGGGTTAGTGTTTGTGGTGCTTGCATTTCTGTGTGTAGAGACAAATGGTCCTACATGTGGCGT